TCACCTCTGTGGGGAGTGAAAGGCCATTCAGTCGGCTGGCAAAGTTGTCTTTTAGTTTCGCAACTAAATCCATCMTCGCTGCTGTGAGAGGTGCCGTATGTGTGATGCGTTTGCGTAGCGTAGGAAAATGCAACATTCTTCCTGAGCTCAAGTCTGCAGAAAATCGTTCCAGTTTGGCTTGAAATGTGCGCGTCTGTTCCACCAGATCAATGGCGGTTTTCTCTCTGCCCTGTAGTCCGAGGTTTAACTGATTTAAGTGTTTGAACAAATCAGAAAGGAAACACACATCTGCCATAAAGTCCGTGTCCATTATGCGGTTTAGGTGCGCCTCCGCTTTTTTTTGCTTGCTGTCATGAAGGAAAACTTTAATCTCCTCCTTGAGCGCACAGAAGCACTCCATTGCGTTCCCTTTGGAGAGCCATCTAATGTCGCTGTGGAGAAGTAAGTCGTGATGTTCTGCAGACATGTCAGACAGCAGCTCCCGAAACAAGCGATGCTGGAGGCTTGAGGTTGCACGTATGAAGTTTATAGTCGCCATAACGTTGTCCATTACACTTTTAAAGTGTCCGTTCAGTTTCGCACACAGCACGGTCTGTTGCACAATACAGTGTAACACTGTCATCCTCGGAGCAACAGCTGTCCACCGCGCTGTCAGTCCACTCACCTTCCCAGTCATGGATGGAGCGCCATCAGTCACGAGCATACAGACCCGGGTCATATCTAACCCGTTGTCTTGAAAGAAAGCCGAGATTTTATCAAAGAACACCTCGCCTGTAGTGTGACCTCTGAGGGATAGAAGGCAGAGCAGCTCCTCGCGAAAACACCGGTGTTCTGCATCATAGAAGCGCACATACACACACAACTGTGCCGTGTCACACTGATCTGTTGACTCGTCCACTGCTACTGACATGGTTTCAGCTTTTTTCAGGTCCATCAGCAGAGCCTCAAACACATCTGTTGCTAATATTTCCACTCTTCGCTTGTTTGAGGTGTCTGATAGGGGCACGCTTTTCACTGCAGATGTCACACTGGCTTGGATTTTATTGTCGTGGATTACCTCGTCCAATATTGCAATCATGCAGTCTCTGACAGTTTCAGAATCAGTGAAGGGTCTGTTTTTCTTTGCTAAACTCCACGACACTCGCAGGGAGGCCGCCGTGGCCCTCTCTTGTGCTGTACATGTCCTTACTAATGTAGAACAACTCCTGTTATAAGATGCTAGCAGGCTCTGCACCTTAGTTGCTCTCTCCTCTGTCCCTTCAGGAAATACTGTCCCAAAAGCTCGGTGTTTCTCAACATGGTGCCTCCAAATGTTATATTCTTTTAATACTGACAGGCTTTCATTGCATATCAAGCACAGCGGCTTAGAGTTCAGTCTTTCGGGTAAAAAAAAACCACGTATTTATCAGTCCAGGCAGGGTTAAAACGCCGATTTTCATTGTCAATTTTACGTTTCTGACCTGTTAGCGACATCTTTTCGCGGTTGTTACTATTCTGGGCTGGCGTTGCTACGATACCAGCAGCGATGCGTTCACGTACAAGAGAAAGGGTGAGAATTTTTAAAACTCTCACAGCAAATATGATTTAAATGTGTTTTTGCGGTTTACGTTTGGTCAGTCAGGGGTGGGCCAGTCAAAGACGGCCCGTGGCCGGATGTGGCCCGGGGCCGCCTATTGAATAGCCCTGATGTACAGGCTGATCTCTTCAGCTCATCTTTAACATCATGAAAAAATCTGAATCTGTCGACTTTTAAACATGTAAGTTACAGTCTTGAAGTTAAGGTCCACCCTGAGAGTCCCTACGGGTCAGTGTAGTGCCTCAGAGTTCAGGTATCTGGTCTTATTCCTGAGTGATGGTAGGATCAGGAGGTGAATCCACAGATCTGTATACCTCCTCAGTAATGAGGGTGTTTCTTTGTACATTTGAGTTGAGTCTAAAGACAAAGCTCTGATTTTCTGCTCCATCTACATTCAAAACCTCATCTGTGGTCATGAAGCTTGGATCAGGACATAAAGAACCAGATCCTGGACCCAAGTAGCATTTTTTGTAGGGTGGTAAAGATAGGGTTCATCGGATCAGGACACCTCCCTTTGGAGGTTTTGCAGACATGGCCCACTGGGAAGAGACCCCGGTTGGGGCAGACCCAGAACCCTYTGGAGAGATTACGGTTCTTCTCTGGTCTGGGAACACCTTGTTGCCCCCTGAAGAGGATCTGGAGAGAGAGGTCTGGGTTTCTCTCATAGACCTGCTGTCTCTCTCTGAGTTTCACTCTTGTCTTCATGCTTTGTGTTCCCAGGAGGGGATGAGGCAGCACTATGAACTGGGTCAGTTTCTGAGGTCTCGATACAAGAACTTCCTCAACGAGTCCTACAGCCCGCACGAGGTCAGATATYACTTCACCGTCCAGCTTTCAAATCAGGAGACACGTGACCAGAACCTTGTTTAATCTGGATTATTACACTATGAAACACTTCTTCTGCTCAGATGAACCATTTTATTTTTAATGATTTGCTCTGTTTGTCTTCAGGTCTTTGTTCGCAGTACAGATGTCGATCGTACTCTGATGAGTGCAGCGGCCAACCTGGCAGGTCTGAGCACCACTTCTTCCTCCTAACCACTCATGTTCCAACTTCTTCTTATTCTCATCCTAACTCTGTGTCCAGGTCTCTACCCTCCCAACAGTCAGCAGATGTTCAGACCCGACCTGAAGTGGCAGCCCATCCCCGTGCACACAGTACCGCTCAGCGAAGAGAGGGTTGGTGTCAAACAGAAATGTTTTAGTTTTTTGTTTTGGCCACAAACATGGTCGTTTACTATTTGTTTTTCTTTTTTTTAAGCTTCTCTCGTTTCCCCTGGACGACTGTCCTCGCTACAAACAGCTGATGAATGAAACCGAACACACACCAGAGTTTATTAATGCTATCTCAACATACCAGGTCCAACTTCTGCTCTTTGTTTTCTGCTCTTTTAGATTCATTCTATTTCATCATTGAATATGTTAAATTTAGTCTTGTTTTTTTTTGTGTGTGTGTCTTTAGGATCTGATTGAGTTGGTGAAGAATAAAACAGGACTGAAGAATACCAATGTGGAGACGGTGTGGAGCGTGTACGATACACTCTTCTGCGAGGTGAAGCTTGAAAACAAACACAGGGACCTCCTTCATGTTGTTGTCCCTTCTGTTGACCTGATGTGCCTGTTTAATTGTTCTTAAGGGTCGTTAAAGCCTTGGAACATATGGTCTGAGGGAAAAAGTCAATAATCTGCCTATTTATTCTTCTGGTTGATTAATCAGTTTACCAGAAGTCAGAGCCAAACAGACTGAGGTGCTCTGCTCATCTCAAGAACCTCATGAAAGTTATTTCAGGAAGTTATGTGTGACCGTCAGGCAAACCTGAACCGTATAGCCTGCATCTCAGTGCACTGTGACTGTTAGCAACTAGATGCTAACACAAGTCCATAAAAATATAGAAATTTTTAATTTGAAGCTCATTGGTATGGTATTTAAGTTTACAACATGCATAGCTGCTAATAAATTAAGTTGTTTCTGCAAAATGACAGGCAAATTTAATTATTCCTCCAATCAGTCACAGTTTGGTTTCATTGGTCAACAAACATTCCCAGAGCTGTCTCATATGTCACTGTTACTATATTTCACTTTCTGAGTTACAGAAACTAAACTGAGAAGTGGCTGAGACGAGTTTGAGACATGTCAGAGACAGGTTTACCACAGGTTAGGGATGGGAATGAGACAGGTTACAAACAAGTTTGAGATGAGTTTGAGACAGCTCAAGTTAGGTTTGAGACAAGTTTGAGACAGGATTTAGATAGGTTAGAAACAAGTTTGGGACAGGTTAAGTCAGCTTTGAGATAGGTCTGAAAYAAGTTAGGCTTTAGATAGGTTAGAGATGGTTTTGAGACAGGTTAGAAATGGATAGGAGAGAGCTTAGAGATGGGTCTGAGACAAGTTGGATGGGTTTGAGACAGGTTAGAGATGTGTTTGAGACAGGTTAGAGTTGGGTTTGAGACAGGTTAGAGATGGGTTTGAGACAGGTTAGAGATGGGTTTGAGACAGTTTAGAGATGGGTTTGAGACAGGTTAGAGATGGGTTTGAGACAGAGTTTGAGACAGGTTAGATGCTTGAAACTCTCACTAACACCACTGGCAGTTAGTCACCAGCACACAGTCCAGTGAGATAATAAATATTTAATTTAAAATATTGTTAGTGAGTTCATTACTTTCAATTTTCAGTTTCGTATTTACTTTGTTTTGCTGTTCAGACTGACTTAAGTTTAGTCCAAGGGTGCCCACACTTTTGCACATGTTTATAGCTGAGTCATCAGGTTCATCTATGATCAATGAAAAGTGAGGTGGCTGAGGAGAGCAGACTGAGCTGTAAGTAGGTGAAAGTTCTGCTGAAGCAGCACCTACATGAAGAAAACAGGTCAATGTAACCTGTTTGACCTTTCTTTATCCTTGTCATTTTTCTAAATTGGGCTGACTTTGCTGTGTTCTTAGTCCCGCCACAACATGACCGCACCTGACTGGGTGACCCCCGATGTCATGGAGAAGTTGAAGAACCTAAAAGACTTTGGATTTCAGGTAAAGGTTGCAGTAGCATTTCAGTCTCTTTAGTCTGAGTGAGTTTTGATGTTCTTTAACAAAGTTTGATGTTTGCAGGTCATTTTTGGGGTGCACAAACAACAAGAGAAGAGTCGCTTGCAGGGAGGTGAGGGAACGATTTGACGTGTTTGCAATTAACTGTTCTTTAAGTTAACAACTTAAAGCTGGTGTCTATTTTTTCAGGTATGCTGCTTAATGAAATTGTGAAGAATCTCTCTAAGATGGCCACTCCAGACCCGACGCAGCAACTCAAACTCCTGATGCTGTCAGGAGTAAGCTATTTGTTTAGTTTTTGAGTAGTTCTTGTCCAGATTTAATATTTTCTGTAACTCATACCATCTTCTAAACATTTCTCTGATGCAGCATGACACGACCGTTACTGCTCTTCAGGCTAGTTTGAATGTGTTCAATGGAATCCAACCGCCCTACGCCTCCTGCCACATCTTTGAGCTGTACAGAGAGGACAATGGGTAAATGTTTTAGATGTTTTATTTTTCTTAAGCTAAATTCAAGGGGGCTGAAAACACAAAAATTATCAACAAACTAGAGATTTTCTTTTGTGAAAATGTAGTCTGAATGTTGAAACTTAGCTGGAAGCTACATGTAGCACAAACTTTTTAAAAATATTAAAACGCTAGCTAAAAATTAGAAGCAAACCCTATTTAAAGGTAGAAAAAAAGCAAGTTAAAGGCCAACAACAAAGTGTCAGCTAAAAGCTCAATGTAGCAAAGTCGCAGTCAAATTAACATTAGCATGTTACATTAGCAGAATTAACATTAGCACTGGTAGAATCTAGGGATGTCCCGATACCACTTTTTCACTTCCGATACGATACCGATATTGCAACTTTGAGAAATGTCTGATACCGATATTGACCGATTCTGATATTGACCCATTACCAAAACAGTACAAGTCACACACTTTTACCTATTTTGTTGTGTAAAATCTTAGAAAAGTCTTGATCAAGTCAAACAGTGAAAAAGAGTAGGTATGAGAAAAACTGATCCATTTATTTTTAACCAATGGATCACATAGGCCTACATTTTAAACTGAAGAACATTATACAATTTAATAAATAAAATAAATTACGATACCCTGAAAAAATAACATAATAAAAACAAAATGTACTTTTAAAGTGTAAAATAATTCAAAATCACTCCAGTTATTTTTTTACCATCTGTCAGCCTTGTGCTGCTTTATGGTGGGAATAACTGAAGGTGGGGGCAAAACAAAACTCCATATTATTGTCTGTTCAGAGTTAAGAGTCCACAGCTCCAATTTTACTGACTGTAACTAAAACGTGATCATTGCACTTTATCTTCACTCAAACAAG